AGGGGAAGGGGGATCTGAAATAAATAGGGAGAGAGGGGGAGGCGGGAGAAGATGGATAGAGGAGAAGATAGGTGGAGAGGAGACAGACCGGTCAAAGAGGCGGGGATGGAGCCAGTAAAGGTGAGTGTAAGTGGGAAGGTAGGGAGGAGATAGGTCAGTCCAGGGAGGACGGACAGGTCAAGGGGGCGGGATGAGGTTAATAGGTAGGAGATGGGGGTGGGGCTTGAGGTGGGAGGAGATAATGTGGTATACTGCATCCGCTGTTCCCGTTGTGGCCTCCTGTACATTGGGGAAACCAAGCGGAGGCTTGGGGATCGCTTTGCAGAACACCTACGCTCGGTTCGCACTAAACAACTGCACCTCCCAGTCGCGAACCATTTCAACTCCCCCTCCCATTTCGCAGACGACATGTCCATCCTGGGCCTCCTGCAGTGCCACAACCATGCTACCCAAAGGTTGCAGGAACACCAATTCATATTCCACTTGGGAACCCTGCAGCCCAATGGTATCAATGTGGACTTCATAAGCTTCAAAATCTCCCCTCCCCCAACCGCATCCCAAAACCAGCCCAGCTTGTCCCCGCCTCCCTAACCTGTCCTTCCTCCCACCTATCCCCTCCTCCCACCTCAAGCCCCAACCCCATCTCCTACCTACTAACCTCATCCCGCCCCCTTGACCTGTCCGTCCTCCCTGGACTGACCTATCTCCTCCCTACCTCCCCACCTACACTCACCTTTACTGGCTCCATCCGCGCCTCTTTGACTGGTCTGTCTCCTCTCCACCTATCTTCTCCTCTATCCATCTTCTATCCGCCTCCCCCTCTCTCCCTATTTATTTCAGATCCCTCTTCCCCTCCCCATTTCTGAAGAAGGGTCTAGGCAGGAAACATCAGCCTTCCTGCTCCTCTGCTGCTGCTTGGCCTGCTGTGTTCATCCAGCTCTACACCTTGTTATCCCTCCTGTAGTTGACCTTTCCAGCCTAGAAAGAAGCCTCTAGAGGAAGAGACATGTAGTTATCAGGCTCTATAGAGATTGTATCAAATACCACATGGGATACCCTGCATCCCATCCTGCAGACTGTTCTAGATACCTTACTCTGCTTAATTTCTATGACAATGTGATTCATTGTATTGGAGCATGACGTTTACACTTGGCTTACAGCTTAGGTGGGGGGTAACCCAGCAAACTAATGTTCTTCAACAGTGCAGTTGGTTGGTCACACACTTAGGAGAGCAAATTGCAGAGCTTGAGAGTGGAAGTGCTGAGTCTCTCACAATGTGAACTGTGCACAACAATGATGAATGTTGGTGCATAATCAGAAAGAGCTCATTTTTTTTAACGAGATTCCTATATTATTCATTTTGAGAGTCCCATGTTGGGTTTATAGAGATTAGAGTATAAGGTATACTCATATACAGTGATGTTTGATAACTATCGTATTTTCATTAAGACAAGTTCTTCACACCTTTGTTGCTCTGTTAATGAGAGGCAACAATTCAGATGCAGACTTACAGCTACATTTTGCAGTGTAAACACTAATTATTGTTATGGCTTGAGCTTTCTTCTGTGAATTTTAATTTGCATTTATGGCTAAACAGCAGTTGCTACCAAGGGCTTGAATATATGATACATTGAAACTCATGTTGTTATTATCTGATATGTCCTGTTTAGCATGCTCAAGTTTAACAGTTAGCTCTAACCTTTGGATTCCCATACTGTTACATACATGGCACATCTGCTATAACACCTAAGAAGCTAGAAAATGCCAGCACCCAATCCCAAATGTACAAAGTAAAGATTGATGAGATCATCGTGAATGATATGAAGTTAAATACAGTGAATTTCCAAAGAGGCCTGGGGATTCAGGTGCATCGATCTTTAAAATGTCACAAACAGGTGCGGAAATATCTAGAAAGCTAAGGAAATGGTGCCCTTTATATCGAGAGGACTGGAGTATAAGGATGCAGAAGTCATGCTGCAGTTATGCAAAGCCCTGGTTAGATCCCACGTGGAGTGCTGTGAACAGATTTGGGCACCACACCTTCGGAACGATACATTGGCCTCGAAATGAGTACAACATAGGTTTACAAGAATAATACCTGCATTTCAGGGGTTAAATTGTGAGGAGGGATTACATAAATTAGGCATGTTTTCTCTAGCATTTAGAAGGTTAAATGATGATCTGATTAAAGTCTTGAAGATATTAACTGAAAAAGACAGGGTAGATAAATGTAAATTGTTTCCACTGGTTGGGGATCCTAGAAATAGGGGGCTTAGACTGAGAATTAGGGGTAGACTTTTTAGAAGCGATGTTAGGAAGCAATTCTACACATAAAGGGTGGCAGAAGTTTGAAACTCTCTTCCAGAGATGGCATTGAATGCTAGATCAGTTCTTAATTCTAAATTTGAGAGAGATACATTTTTGTTAAGCAAATGTATTAATCGATATGGAGTTAGGCCACAGATCAGCCACGATCTCATTGAATAATGGACTGGCTTGTAGGGCTGAATGGCCTACTCCTGTTCCCATGTTCCTATGTTCAGTTTACGAATGGAATAACGTACATAAGCTAAGAACTTACTGCTGCAATTTACTAACCAAACTTGTGCAATTTAATTAATTCTGAAATTCCACCTAAGGTGTAAACTGAGATCTCTGAACAACCTAATAATTTATTGCCACCTGTTAATTATTGGAAAATCCAACCCCCTCCATGAGGAATGAAATCAGGGTATGTCCTTCAAAGAACCTCAGAGTGATTAATTGGGACTCTGAACAACAAACTAGTCAGGGTTTTCCACAACTGCATTTGCCAGCCTGTGGTTTTCTGCCCACTGCTTCAATGGGCAGAAAATTATGACCTGGCATTCTCAGTGGAAAACCCTGGTCACCAACTGCAGCAGGCATTCCAGTTTTCCAAAGAACTGCTTGGATTCCATTTTGAGAGTAGCCCAACATTAAAATATTTAAAAGATACTGGCAGGATTTAGAGTGAGGAAGCGATTGGTAGCAAACTATCAATATGCATTGAGATAGATGTCTTTCTGGTCAAATTCAGACTAGACCAGCAAGTAACAACACGCTGTACCAGTGATCACATTGATTAGTATAAGTGCAGGCCTTTGTAAATTAGGATTACTGGTTTGTTGATCAAGAAACCTTGGCCTATACTGCCCTCTTTGAATTTTTAAAGTCAAGCATTGGCAGTGTTTTATCACATGGTGTATTTTCCTTCTTCAGGACAGTTAAGGTTATTTTTACTTTTATTTAATTTGAAATGATGTGATTTTCACCTTTATTATTAGGGACTGTGCTGGATGATGATTTGCTATTCATGCAACTGGGTGTATGTTTCTTGTCTTTTCTAAGATGGTGCAGATGATGTCAGTGGATGGATTTATGATATCAGTGTAGCCTTCTGTGCTGAGATGGAGAGCTCCAAGTGATGGTGCTTGTGGTAACTGGTTTTAACCCAGGTCATCTTAGATATGAGTAACACTTTAGAACCTGAGCATAGAATTAACTGTTTATTATCATTCTTTGCTGTTATAATTCCTTTAAGTTCATTCATGTGGGATGCAAGCATTGCTGGCAAGGCCAACATTTACTGCCTATACCAAAGTGCCCTTGAGCAGGTGCTGGTTCTTGAATCAAATCATGCAAGTATACCCACAGTGCTGTTAGGAAGGGAGATCGATCCAGCAACAGGCAAAGAATAGTGATACAAAACCAAGTCAGGATAGTGTGTGGTTTGGAGGGGAACTTGCAGATGGTAGCATCCCCATGCGCCTGCTGCCCTTCCCCTTTGAGATGGTGAAGGTTGTGGGTTGGGAAGGTGTTCTTGAAGATGCCTTTGTGAATTACTGTAATGCAACTTGGAGATAATACACATGCTGCCACTGTGCATCAGAGGGCATGAATGTTTAAGGAGGTAGATATGGTACCAAGCAGATGCGTTGATGCTACTCTTGAGAGACCCACTGGTACATGAAATCCCATATAGTGGTACAATATAATTCAGTTGCTGCTGTTGGCTCACAGTGCATCATGGGTGTACAGTTTGAACTGCGACGTGTGTTCAGACGGTCCCATTTCACATGATGTCAGTATGATGCAACACAATGAATGGGTTCCTCAATACAATAATTACAATTGTCATTTTTAAAATTGATTTGTAACAAATGATAAATTACCAAAAAAATTACATTTTTAGAGGGCTTTTCATGCCTTTCCTGCAACTTGGAAATCCCAAAGTGCTTGAATTAAACATGTTTGCAGTGTAATAACTGCTGTATTGTAGGCAAATGTAGAAGTGAATGTATGGATAAGTCTGACAAGAAGAAAAATGATCAGGTTAATTGTCTTATTTAGGGCATGAATGTTGATCAGGTCTCAAGGAAAAATCTTCTGCTTTTCCTTGAATAGTTGCTTGGAATGTTTAACAATTACTTGAAAGGACAGATGAATCCACCTAAAATATCTCATCTAAAAATTAGCGCTTCTGACAGTAAAACAGTTCCTCAGTATTCCACTTTGAAGCTATGACCTTCTGACTCTTAAGATAAATTGGTACACTTCTGTGATCCAAGGGGAAGTAATTAATATCCATGGTGGATGTGGTAGAAGGCAGTGGAAATTGATGATATCTTAGAAATGACAACTATTCCCTCATTGTCAACGTAGCTCCAATTTGTCATTACTGCTAACTCAGAGATGAGATCGAAGGATTGGTTACTCACTTGTCTGCATTTTCAATGTATTTAAACTTCCAAGCTCCAGGAAGTAGCCCTTTCAGCCACCATTCCTTGGTTTCATTAAAAATTTGGAGACATGGGCAATGTTCCAAGCAGGACACCATCAGGCAGCTTGAAAGACAGGCATTGTTGGTGGATGCTGGGGAACACAGAGAATTTGAAATGTTGGAAAATTTGAATGTACATGAATTGAACCCATTGTGCATAGGAAGAAGGGATAGAAGAAATGAGTAAGAAAATATTTGATAAGTTCCATCCACAATCATCATCTTATTTAATATACATAAAACTACTATGCATCTTGTGTTTATTCTTAGGCTGTGGCATAAGGCTATCTGCTGATGTTGGCCATCCCTAGTTGGTGGTGGTGGACCTTGTATGTGAACTGTCTTGCGTTGATGGTAATCCAATGTATAGGAACTTCCAGGAGTTTAACTGAAAAACAGGAAAGAGATGAAAGTACTGGTAGAGTTCACATTATGACACAGTTCTGGAATTTCTCTATGCTTGTTTATAGGGTTAGGAAGTGTTGTTTTAATATATATAGCCAACTCATTACGCTAACTTTTAAACTCAAACTGCAGTACAATAACAATCTGTGGATCTAACAAAAAGTCTGCACTTCTACATTCTACATGCATCTTAGTTGCCCCCGAAGCTGGTGATGGGCACTGTTTTTGAGAACAGTGCGCAACCTTGAGCAGCTTGCTCAGCCTCTTTGGAGTCATATATAGCCCATCAGTCCTGGGTGCCACTCAATGAGAGGGATGTGAGCAAATTGGAGCAAGTGAAGAGGGGATTTTCAAGAATGATTCCAGGGATGAGAAACTTCAGTTATGAGGATAGCTAGGAGAGGTTTGGGACAGTTCTCCTTGAAGAGAAGAAGGTGACCCCATAGCAGTTTTCAAAATCATGAATGAACTGGCTAGAGTAGATACGAAGAAACGGTTTGCACTAGTAAAAGAATCAGTAACAAGATGATACAGATTTGAACTGACTTTTAAAAGAAACAGATGCAAGAGGGGAAAAGAAACATTTGCACACAATGAGTAGTTCGAGTCTGGAATGCACTGTGTGGAAGTGGAGTGAAGGTACATTCAAATGAAGCATTTAAGAGGGCATTGGATGATTAATTAAATAGAAGTAATATCGGAAGGTAGGGGAAAATGGCAGAATAGTACTGAATCATAGAGCCAGAGTAGACACGAGTGAAATGGCCTTTTTCTTCACCTAAACATTTCTGTAATTCTGTTAGGTAAAGATGGCCAATTTATTTTCCCAAAAGGACACTACTGAGTGAGAACTGCCGATGCTGGAGTCAG